TTCCTTTTTTTGCAGCCTTCCAGCCCTTACTTTCCAGTTTTTTCCATGCCTGTCCATCTCTTTCAGTCCTTCCAGCGCGTTCCGTTCATCCTTTTCATTCCCAGTTCCTTTGAGTGCCTTCCAGTCCATCCAGCATTTTTTTTCAGCCCCTCTTCCATCCCTTTCCAGTTCCTTCCAGGCGCTCATCCCTGTCCGCCCTCCCTTCCTCCTTTGCATGCTTTCTATCCCTTTCAACCTTTGAGTGCCTTCCAGTTCGTCCTTCCCTTTCATCGCTTTCCATCCCTTTCAGGTCGTTTCCTTCCTTTCCACGTCCCTTACAGCCCCCTTCCTTTCTTTCCGTTCTTTTTCCAGCCTTCCAGCCCTTCCTTTCCCGTTCAACCTGTTTCCAATGCCTTCCAGCCCCTTCAGTCCCTTTGAGTGCCTTCCAGTCCATCAATGCCTTCCAGCCCCTTCAGTCCCTTTGAATGGCTTCCAGTCCACCAATGCCTCCCAGCCCCTGCAGCCTTTCAGCCCTTACTTTCCAGTTCTTTCCATCTCTTTCAGTCCTTCAGTCCCTTTGAGTGCCTTCCAGTCCATCAATGCCTTCCAGTCCCTTCAGTCCCTTTGAATGCTTTCCAGTCCACCAAGCCCCTTGAGTTCCTTTTTTTGCAGCCTTCCAGTTCTTTCCATGCCTGTCCATCTCTTTCAGTCCTTCCAGCGCGTTCCGTTCATCCTTTTCATTCCCAGTTCCTTTGAGTGCCTTCCAGTCCATCCCTCCCTTTCCTTGCTTTCCACTCCTTTCAATCCTTTCCAATTATTTTCCGTCCGTTTCCGTCCCTTTCAATCCTTTCAAGTGTCTTTTCATCTCTATATCAATCCCTTGCAGTCCTTCCCACACTCCAATCCCTTTTCTCCTTGTCACTCTTTTTCTGCCTCAATTCTCTGTTTCCTTTTTTCATGTTTCAATCTTGTTTAATCCATTTATCTTCTCTTTACAATACGAGATAGATAGAGAGAGAGAGAGAGAGAGAGAGAGAGAGAGAGAGAGAGAGAGAGAGGAAGAGGGAGAGAGAGAGAGAGAGAGAGAGAGAGAGAGAGAGAGAGAGAGAGTGAGAGAGAGAGAGAGAGAGAGACAGAGAGACAGGAAGAGGATAGAGAGATAGAGGGACGAGAGAGTGAGAAAGCAAGGCAAGAAACAAGAGATGGCTGTTGGCTGTCGCGGTTCGCCATTTTTGCACGTGTGTGAGTGTGTTGTGTGCGTGTGTATGTGTGTGTGTGTGTCTAGTGCTCGTCTAGTAGCTAATGCTCGTCTACTGCTCGTCCAGTGCTTGTCTGGTGCTCTTGTATGCCCGGAATTTTTCCAAAAAAATCTGCGGGTGGCTCGTGCTCTCCCATCTCGGCGCTCATCCCGTGCTCGTCTTGTGCTTGTCTAGCGCTCGTCTAGCGCTCTGTCTAGCGCTCGTCAAGTGCTCGTCCAGTGCTCCGTCTAGTGCTCCGTCTAGTGCTTGTCTAGTGCTCGTCTAGTGCTTGTCTGGCGCTCGTCTAGTGCTTGTCTAGTGCTCGTCTACAGCTCGTCTAGTTAGCGCGCCGTCCAGCGCTCGTCTCCGTCTAGTGCTCGTCTAGCGCGCGTCTAGTGCTCCGAGCGCTTTTCTATCCCCAGAAATTTTCCAGAAATTTCCGGCGGTAGCTGGCGCTCTACCTATTCTGGCGCTCGGCTGTGTGTCTGTGTGTGTCTGTGTGTTTGTGTGTCTGTGTGTCTGTGTGTCTGTGTGTCTGTGTCTGTGTGTCTGTGTGTCTGTGTGTCTGTGTGTCTGTGGGCGAGCATGTGTGTTTACGCTGAGCCTTGCAAGCTCTGGTCATGTTTGACGCCTAGTGGAACATAACCCTCAGTCAGGCGATCCACAATATTTGCATGCAACCATGTGAGTCTAGATGATTGTGGTCTAGGCTGTGGCTTCTGCTGAAGTGTTGCGAACGCCCCTTGTTCAGCTCATCTTGTGCTAGTTAAGTTAGAGTTTCCCGCGGGTGCGACGAGTGCCGAGCATGGCTCTGATTGAGTTTAGCGACGGTTGTGTGCTGAACAGCCTGGAAGAGATCCGGGAGCAGTTGTTTGAAGGCGCGCGCTTGAGCTGGGCTTGCCATTTTGTTTGGTCGCGCTCGCTCGCTTTGGCTGCAGGATTGCCAGCCGACCTGTTTCATCTGACAGAGGCTTGGCGCGCGGGGTCGCCGCGTCGCCCCGCTGGCTTCCGCGAGTTTTGGCGCAGCTGTGTTTCGCGTACGCGCAGGAGCAGGCCACGAGCCTGTACATTTTCGACGCGCGCGTGGATTCGGAGGTCGGAGCGCGCAAGCTTATCGTGAAGCTGCAGGACTACGAGGCAGTGGGTTTGTCCACGTCTCCGCGCGCTTATCGTTGGTCGTGGCTTGTCGCGCAGGGCTGTATCAGCGAGGTCAGTTGGCGCTGTCGTGAGGCCTTGGAGCGCACGCGCGAATGCGCTCCGCTTGCGAAGGCGGTTTTGTTGCTTGCTCGTTGCTGCTACAGTGGCTTTGGTTGGCGCATGTTTTGCGCAGATTTCATTGGCCAAGCCTTGGACGCCATGCTGGTGCTAATCTTGCTGAGGCGTTTGCTTTTGAGCGCTCGCTGCAGCGTGGTCGTGTCGCGTCGTGGTCTTTGCGAGACGTGGACGTGTTCAGGGTTTATGAAGCATCGCCCCCCGAGGTTGCAGGAGCTGATATGTGAACTCCCGCTAGAGCCATGGGTGCCCTTCGGGCAAGATCCTGACAGCCCCAAGCAGCTGATCTGGGTTGGGATTGCGCATGTTGGCAATAGCCCGACAACGCCGGGCCCATTTTAAAAATCCAAAATACCGCTGTGTGAGCGGAGAGATATACACTGAGAGAGAGTTAGAGAGTTAGAGAGTCAGAGAGTAGAGAGAGAGAGAGAGAGAGAGAGAGAGAGAAAGTGAGAAAGGAAGACAAGAAGAAAGCGAGGGTGGTTGTCTATTGCGGTCTGCCCTTTTGTCACATGTGTGAGTGTGTTGTGGGAGCTGCTTGTTCTCAGTTTGGGATATGCGACAAAACTTGCTTGCTCAGCATGGGTTGTGCGAGGAAGCTTTCTTGTTCTCAGTCAGGGCTAGGCGACAAGGCATGCTTGTTCTCAGTTTGGGATATGCGACAAAGCTTGCTTGTTCTCAGTCATGGTTATGCGACAAAGCTTGCTTGGCTTGTTCTAAGCTTGGGGTATGGGACAAAGCTTGCTGGTTCTCAGTGTGGGATATGCGACAATGCTTCTTTTCAGTTTGGGATATGCGACGCAACTTGCCTGTTCTCAGTTAGGGTTGTGTGACAAAGCTTGCTTGTTCTCAGGCAGTATGTTTGGAATGCCCCCAAGCTAATCCAGAGCAGGTGCCTTGTAGGAAGGTTGGAGCTTTCAGCGCATGACTGGACTGAGCAACTGGAGATGGATTTTCGCGTGCGCTTCCACATGATAGACCCAGCGCTGCTCGGCGGCTCTGCGTCAAGGTGCACAGTCGCGAAGCACCCCAACGGCGAGAAGCATGTCCTGCGTGTTGCGAGAGGAAGGAGCGGGGTTTCAGGGCTTGCGCGTGTCTTTTGTTACGCGCATGAGGTTTGGCTCGAAGACGACCAATTGCCTGACAGCATGTTTAACGCGATTGACTTCGGTGGCGTCACGACTTCTTATGTGGCTGTGTGCTGCGGCGGCCCTCAGCATCTCGACAAAAAAACAGCTTGCGGACCTGCGGATTGTGGCTGACACGCTGGGCGCTCTTTAAAAAAACAAAGCACTGGAGGACATGACGCAGTCGCCTATCACGGTGCTGTCCCTGAACACGCGCACCGTCCTCCAAAAAGGAAACCTGGCGTACACGGCCACTGTGCTGGCAGCCGCAGCGTGGAACATGGTGCTGCTCAACTTGTATGGATGTACCGGACACGCGGTCGCAGCGCGCTGCGCAATTTAGATAAGATGCTTCGCTGGTATCAACCCAGCCGTGGCGCGTGATGAGAGAGCGGCTACTCAAGTCGCTGGGCAGCGAGGACGTAGTGGACGGCGTGATGGCCTTCCTGTGAAACCGGTGTGTGTCCGCCCACGAGCTGGACTGCTTCTGCGGAAGAAAAGAATGCGCTCCGTGTTGAGGACAGAACTTTCAGTGGCGCGGTTCCTGCGTTATAGCGGGCTTCTTTTTGCTGGGCGAGCTCCAACTTGCTCCGGTTACGGGCCTTGCCCGGTTGTCGCTCTCAGTTGCATGAGCGCGTGTCACCAGCGCGATGGTTGAGTGATGTCTGTTGCGGTGCTGCGGCGAACGGCCTCGCTGCAATCGATGCCCTTCGATCAGATAGTGGCTAGCTCCTGGATGACTGCTGCGAGCAATGCGGATGGCTGTTTCCTGGAAGGATTGCTGCGCGTCTTGCAAGCCAGCGACATGTTTTGCTGTGCCGTGGTAGCGGAGGTGGAGTGTCGGAATGTTCTGGCCTTCTTGAAAACTGACCACACATGCTTGACATTGGAGGAGATTGCCGGCGTGCTGCGGGACGTTGCAGACATTGCGATAGAGCCGTGGTACGGCGCTGACGCGGACGCGGTCGCATATCTGCAAGGGGAAGTGAGCTGCGCGCAGCCACAGGGGCGCACCGTGCTGCGCTGGTTTAGGGACTGAGATTGCGACGCGTGTTGCGGAGAAACCTTTTGCGACGCGCAGGGAACACAAAGAAATTGCTGCGCAAGCCCTTGCAAGAGAATCGGAAACCTGCGGCAGTGTTCATGACAGCTGCGCCCTTGCGCCGCATCATCTTGCGATGGTTCGATGAGGTTCTGCGTTGCGGCGCTTGCGCTCGTTTCTTGCTGCGCCGGGCATGGCGGGCGAGGTTGCGAAGGTGCATCTGAAAAAGGCGCGTGGATCGCAGCTGGAGTTTGGTGCTGATGCGAGATAGCTCTGTTTCGATAGCGTGATGTCTCTTCTGTGTTGGTAGCCTTGATGAAAGTGCCTAAAGAGCACTCGCATATGACGCAACTTCGACATGCTTTGGTGAAGACGCGGAAGCAGCTGGCGCACGTGAAGCAGGGGTCGCAGAGGCAGGCGGTTCTGAGCGAGTACGAGAAGGAACTGGTACAGCTCATCTCGCGCGGGTACGAAGGGCTGCGCGAGCACGGCACAAGGCAAAGGCTGGAGGATGCAGGAGAAGATGTTGAGGCGCAGATGGCGTCGTTGGAAGAGACACTTGTCAAGTTTACGCAAAAAGTGTTAGCCAAATTCGCAGCAATTCGACACCCGTTGGCCGAGATGTGTGGTGCCGCAGACAGCGCCGTTGCTAAGCCCAGCGAATCAGCAGCTGACGACGACACTCTGAGGCAATACTTTCAAGCGTCTCTCTCATTGGAGGATACTGCAGAAAAGCCGGTTGCCGTGCCCGCGGAGCCAATGGATGAAACGCGCAGCATTCACAGCCGGGAGGCGTTGGAGAAGATGACCATGCAGCAACTCAGGGCCCAACTTGCACCGTTTGAGCGCAAAGGTGTTCGGAAGAAGTGCGACCTGGTGGCTGCCATTGTGCGGAAGGCTAAAAGCTCAGCTGATGGCGCCATTGAAAAATAGCTGTGAGACATGCAACGCGCGCGCCACTGCGCGAACCTGTGGTCTTGTATCTCGTGTCTGCGTGCTTTAGCGCAGCTTTGTGTGCTCGAACTGCGACAAGCTCGGAGATGGTGTAGCCCCTCAGGGTGTGTTGAGGTCCAAGCCAAAGCTGCACGCGCGCTGATATGGAACCTGAGCTCCATCGTTTCATGCAACTCTGTGCTTTGGCAGTATGTTTCGCCAGCGTGGCTTGGACAGCGTTGTGACCTCTCATGTTGTTGTGTGCGGCTGCGCTTCGTTGGGCGGGCTCGACCGCCTATACGTGCTGCGGATGTGGCGGACGCGCTGGGCGTTGCAGAAGGTGCTGGAGGACTTGATGCGGTTCCCTGCGAGCAGACTACTGTGCGCCAACGCACGCGCAGTTTTGCAAATGGATTTAACGCCACGCCGCCGCCTGTGCTGGCATCCACTGCGTGGACTTGATGGCCAGCTCTGCGGTGGTTGCCGGAGGCTGCGTTGCCGGAGGCTGGTTGGGTGTATCAGACAAGTGGTCGCCGCGCGCTACACACCCTTGAGAAGCTGCTTCGCTGGTACCATCCAGTCGTGGCGCGGGTGAGAGAGCAGCTGCTAAGATCGTTGATCAGCGACGACATTGTTGGGCGTGTGATTGCCTTCTTGTGAGAACTGCGCTTGCCTGCCCACGCGTAAGGCAGTGTTTACGCAAGAAAATAGAAAGGTCTACCTTGACGGTGGGTGTTCGCCCGTCGGATTTGAGTCGCTTGCGCCCGTCGGATTGGGGTCGCTTGCGCCCGTCTCTTGTTGAATCTGTGCGGCGCACTGTGTTTCTTTCCCTTGCTAGGGTGACTTTTTGGGTTGCTTTTTGGGTTGCTTTTCGGGCCCCTGACAAAATAACAAACCCACATGGCGTCCACGGACGTGGCTGTGTAGATGGACAGCCAAACCCAAGAAAGAAATCCACACAGGACGGCTCAGCAACAGCCGGTAGCCCAACAACCCAACAACAACCAAGCCCCAACAACTGCCCAGCAAGCAAAAAGCGACAACAACCCAGTAGCCCAACAATCCAATTTGTCGCGTTGCTCCGTTGAACTCCCAGGACCGTTATCTCGGCGCGTCTCGTTGATATGTTTGGCGCACATGGATTGTCAGGTGGAAAATGGAGGCGGGGTATCTTGAAAAGCTGCGATTGACAGTTAAGTGCGCCGAGCCGCCGCTCCCAACCCTTATGCCGAACCAATTTTCAAACGCTCGAAGTCTCTGTTGTCATCCTTGAGGGTCTTCGTTGTCATTGCGCACGGCAGTCGATTCAAGCCTGAGCCCAATGTGTTGCTTTTGCTTGGTCTCTTGAGCGAGCCTGTGCCATCGTGCGCGTGAGAAAGCGTGGAAGGATTTTGCGATTGAGGAAAGACAGTTCAGGTTTAGTTTAGAAAGGTTGTTTGGTTTTGGGTTGTTTTTGGTTTAGGTTTTTTTGGTTTAGAAGACGAGATTTGGTTGGAAACAGGAGGGGAACCATTGGTTGGTTTTGAGTTGTTTTTGGTTTATGTTTTTAGGTCAGAAGTGTGAGATTTGGTTGGAGAATCTTCTCAGCTGAGCGCAAGCCTATTGAGTGGCGAGTGTTTTGTGACAGCATGCGTCATGCGTGTGAGTGCGTCGCTGTGTCTGTCGCCGTTTTGCGGCGAGCGACGTCTTTGCAGCCAGTGCCGTTCGACAAGATCAGGTCCTGCTCCTGGATGGCGGCTTCCAATAATGCGGACGGGCGCTTGCTAGAGCGCCTGATTGGTCTCTTGCGCGTCTGTGATGCCTTCAGCTCAGTGGTGGTAGCGGAGGTGGAGTGTCGGAACGTTCTGCTGTTCTTTCGAACAGGCAACAGGCTCGTCGATCTAGACGATATGGCAGGCGTGCTGGGGGACGTCGCAGACATAGCAATAGAGCCGTGGCGCGGAACCGAAGCTGAAGCCGTCGCATATCTGCAACGAGAAGTGATCTGCGCGCAGCCGCAAGGGCGCACCGTGTTGCGCTGGCACCGTGTGTGAAAGACTCGAGAGATTGAGACTAATTACCTCGAAGCTTGTGCTCGCAGCCCGGTTACTCACACTCAGAAACAGCAGGCGAAACTGGTGGAACCTTGGTTGGCAGTAGGTCCGATCAATGGAGTTCTTGCCTATTGTTGTTGCTGCTCCAGGGGAGTCGCCGCAGCGCTTGTGGATGTTGCTATTCTCAAGGGTGAGCGAGCGAGCGCAGCAGCGGATCCTGGATCTCTGCGTGGCGAGCGAACTGCGCCGCGCACTTTGTGTCGAGCTCCCGCAAAACTTGATGCTTGCCTTTCTGGAGCAAACCAGCGACGCCGCTGTGTGGACTCTGTTCAGCGCGGAGTGTATGTTTAGCGGGGCGTGCTACGTGGCTGCTGAGCCGTGGCCTGGGGCGGCTGCCTCTGCAGAGGCTTACATGTCAGAATGCGGCGCGGTGAGGATTCTAATCGATTTTGAGCAAGCGGAGTCTGAGCGGTGACGGTGAGCAAAGCTGCTAGCTCTGTTGAGCCGCCCCGTGAGGCGATGCCCGAGCGTAGATGGAGCCAGAGTTGCTGCTGCTGATCCTTGTCCCCTCTGCTTGCTGTGCTCAGGAGTGCGAAACACGATCGCCGGGTGTCCGACAGCTTTGTTTTGTAAGTGAGTTCACGCTGCGTCTTGTGTTGTGTGGCACTGCTTGGTGTGGCCTATAGCTGCTGTGGCGCAGCCGCTGTATTACTGCGGGATGCTCGCGCCCTCAGACAGCTCGAGCAAGCTACAGTCTCTGCAACTCGAACTAGACAGGGTTCACAAGCAGCTGCAAGACTGTGCTCGCGGGACGATGAGGTGTGTCAAAAGCCATTGAAACTGCTGCGAAGGTGACCAGTTGTCTTGCGACAGGCATATAGTGCTAGAAGGCTGGAAAGTGAGCCTGCAGCGATCCATCAACGATGCGATGTTGGCGCGAGATACCGGGGCGCCCAGCGGCGCGCCGGCGGATGTGCGTTTGGTAGCATCTTTGGGCGGGGGTGTTGCGGAGCGGTGCGCGCATGGCAGCTGTGATCTGGAGTTGCACGCGTGTTGTCCGCATTGCCTGCAACAGCTTTGCTGCGAGCACTGGCGCTCATCGCTTTGTCATGAGCATGGCAGCGCCGCGACCTGTCGCTGCGGGGATTGCAAGCTGTTCGCGAGCGCGCGGACCAACACCTATGCCAGCAACGCCAATCATGAAGAAGCGCTAGACATCGAGTTGACGCCCACGCAGTCCGCGCAGAGCTTGACAAGTGAGCAGGGAGAGTCGCTTATGTTGGCGGAGGACGACGGGCATGAAGAAGAAACTGGCGCTGTAGAAGGCAACCCGTCACAGCGTGACAGCAATGGTAGCAACCGCTCGTGTGTGAAGGTGAGCCGAGTGCGCCACCACACGCTGCGTCTGGGCTTGTCAGCAGGATGCGCTGCCAAGATGGGCAAGCCTGCGTTTATAGGGCTCACGGAAGACGGTGCAAGCAAATGGGAGCAGTGCGAGAGCATCAAGCGGGAGTTCTCGTGCGGCAATGCGCACAAGCCCGGGCAAGGTGTGGAGCGCGGGCGCGGTGCGCAAGCAGCTGAAGGGCCCAGCTGCGAGCCCTTGACGTACAGCACACCCGCTAGTAGTGCTGACATGGGACGCGCTGATTTTCGGCATGGGTTTGACTTTGAAGCGCGGGTGACAACGTGGATATCAGACTACTTGGAGCGCAAGCACGATTTTCAGCAGAGCGATCTGAGCAAGCACGTCGCTGTCAGGAACTATATGATCGGGCCTCAGCTGGACAAGAGTGGAAGAGGCTTTCACTACCAAGTGATGACGCTGATCAGACGCGGGTGGTCTGCTCAAGATGCGCGTGACTGGACTGAGCAACTGGAGATGGATTTTCGCACGCACTTCCACATGATAGACCCAGCGCTGCTCGGCGGCTCTGCGTCAAGGTGCACAGTCGTGAAGCACCCCAACGGCGAGAAGCATGCGGGCTATGCGTGTCACTCGCATAACAACCCGTGGCCAGTCAAGCAGTAACTCAGCCGCCCATTAGCCCTTTGTCCATCTTTTGTATCCGGGCCCTTTTGTCTCGAAACTGTTTGCAGCTGTTGCCGTACATATTGTGAGCAAGCGAGGTTTGGTAGCTTCAAGAAGATGTCGCCGTCTGACTATTTCGAGATGTTCTTGAAATGGCAAGACCAATGCCATCGCATGCTTCAGATCAAGAACGTTGAGAAAGAAGTGGAGAACCTGCGGTCGGGCGGCGGCGAGCACATTCTAGCGGACGCAATCGAGCTAGCTGCCAGGGATGTGGAAGAGCTGCTGCGCGACGGTGAGCTCACCCTGACAGACAAAGGCATCGCGGAGAAACCTGTCGTCATAGCGAGGAAGTTGTACGCGAAGCGCAAGCAGGGCGGTGTGACGTATCCCAGGATGACCAAAGCTGCCCGAGAGCAAGTGGAGCTAATTGTCTGCTCTAGGCGCTGCTTGGCTGTCTTCTAGTGTTTGCGACGCGGCTTCGAGAGTGTCTGACAGGTGTACTGCTTCTGCTGAGAACCCCAACAAGCCAAGCTTCAACTTAGATAGCTTCGATCGCGTGCACCCAGAGCTGCAGAAGTGACCGCTCTCTCGTAGCCCCACGCGTGCGGTGGCTAAGAGTGTAGTCTGCTTGGCAGGTATGTGGATGAGGTTATATGTGGCCCTAGCCGAGATCGCTACAAGGCGCTGCTAGTGCTGGATAAGGAGGGCGGCAAAGGCAAAACGCAATACTTCTTGGCGGCGGCGCCCTGCGTGTACTTCCGGATGCAGATAAATTGGACCACGTGGAATAGGCTGCGCGCTGCGGAGCCGGTGCCTCGCTTTGTGCTTCTGGACGACGTAGATTGGTTCGGGCCGATGTCGAACCTCGACACTGACAATCGGCGCAAGGCCTTGTTGAACGGAACCGCGTCCTTTGATCTATGCACGAGGGGTGGCGCCTTCAGTCATAGCATTCGGCACGGGTTGCCTACTGTGGTTCTGACCAATGAGCTCTCTACGTGGCAGTATTTCAGGTGAGTTGGTGCTCTTGTTTTGCACGCTCGCGCGCGTGACCAGTGTTGTGGCAGGTTCAGCGAATACTTTCAAAACCACATGATCTTTGTTGAGCTGACTGAGCCTCTTTTCAGTTCGCCTGTATAGAGCTAATTCATGGAAGGCGTTGGTTCGCGCGCCAATGAAATGTGTGGCTAATGGAGAACACAAGTTTCGCTGCCCATGTTTGGCTGGGTCAGAGACTGTGATAGATATAGAGACTGGAGAGACATGATAAAGCCCAGAGGCCTAAATGTTTTTGCAACTCTAACGATTGCTTGGAGGGAGTAGCGCATGATCCATTTTTGAAAGAAGAGTAGCCGGTCGAGGCGAGTCGGTCGTGGTTGGCTAGCTTTTGCTGGCTGCTGGCTGCTGGGTCAGAGACCAAGAAAGAGAGAGAGAATCCTCAAGGACTAGGGAGTAGGCGTCGACTAGTGTCAAGAGTGGTAGCGGAGCAGTTTTTGTTTTTTGTTTGCTGGCTGTCTGCTAGCCAATAGAGAGAGAGAGAGCCTCAGGGATTAGTTGAGGACTCAAGTGTGGTAGCGGAGCAGGTTCGTTTTGTTTCTCTCCGGAAAACCGTTTTTATTTCTTGGGTGTTCGGGTGTTCGGGTGTTCGGGTGTTCGTTTGCATTTCTGGTGCTTTTTGCTCGGCCTTTCAGAAGCTTGTTGTTCGATGGAATTTTCCAAACTGAGCTGCAGTCATGCGTTTTGCTTCTTGTTACAAGATTCCTACGCGTCACGCGCGCTCTTCATTGGACTTCGTTGATGAGTCTACAGGTCTGTGCGGGAGGGTGTTCGCTGGGTGTTCGCGGTGTTCGCTTCTGGTTTCTTTCGGTTGGGTTCTGAATGGGTGTTGGTTGGTGGTTGACCAGGCTTGAAAAACTGCTGCCATGCCCTATGTTTGTGTAGTTTGTTGGGTTTGCGCTGGCTCGGCTGGCTTGACGTGGTTGGGTGGCTTTTTGGTGATGTTGGGCGGACGTCTCGGCTTGATCTGGTTGATGACTGATTGTGTTTTTCGTTTGCTCTGGTCTGGTCGGTTGGTTGGTTGGTTGGTCGGTTGGTTGGTCGGTTGATTGGTTGGTTGAGTGGGTCGTTGAACGTAGTGGTTGGGTGGTGTCAAGCGTCTTAAAAGTTAAATTAATCTTTAAAACCCTAAACCCTAAAGCCAGCTATCGGGTTTGAATCGATCCGCAGGAAGTGGTTTGGGTACGATTGCGGGTAAGCGCTGCGCAACAACGTTGCGCGGCGATGGTATAAGGTTTGAAGCGTTCTGCTGGACTTGGTTTGAATCGTTCCGCTGGACTTGGCTTTGAATCGTTCTAGCCTTGGTTTGAATCGTTCCGCTGGTCTTGGTTTGGAGTCTGGGTTCGGGCGTTAGGTTTGAGGGTTTGTGGATTAGGGGTTAGGTTTGAGGGCTTGCGGATTAGGGGTTAGGTTTTAGGGTTTGTGGATTAGGGGTTAGGTTTTAGGGTGTGTGGATTAGGGGTTAGGTTTTAGGGTTTGGGTTTTTTAGGGGTTAGGTTTTAGGGTTTGGGGTTTTTAGGGGTTGGGTTTTAGGGTTTGATTTTAGGGGTTAGGTTTTAGGGTTTGGGGTTTTTAGGGGTTAGGTTTTAGGGTTTGGGGTTTTTAGGGGTTAGGTTTTAGGGTTTGGGGTTTTTAGGGGTTAGGTTTTAGGGTTTTGGTTTGTGTGGCTTTTTGGTGATGTTGGGCGGACGCCTCGGCTTGATCTGGTTGATGGCTGATTGTGTTTTTCGTTTGCTCTGGTCTGGTCGGCTGGTTGGTTGGTTGGTCGGTTGGTTGGTTGGTCGGTTGGTTGATTGGTTGGTTGAGTGGGTGGTTGAACGTAGTGGTTGGGTGGTGTCAAGCGTCTTAAAAGTTAAATTAATCTTTAAAACCCTAAACCCTAAAGCCAGCTATCGGGTTTGAATCGATCCGCAGGAAGTGGTTTGGGTACGATTGCGGGTAAGCGCTGCGCAACAACGTTGCGCGGCGATGGTATAAGGTTTGAAGCGTTCTGCTGGACTTGGTTTGAATCGTTCCGCTGGACTTGGCTTTGAATCGTTCTAGCCTTGGTTTGAATCGTTCCGCTGGTCTTGGTTTGGAGTCTGGGTTCGGGCGTTAGGTTTGAGGGTGTGTGGATTAGGGGTTAGGTTTTAGGGTTTGGGTTTTTTAGGGGTTAGGTTTTAGGGTTTGGGGTTTTTAGGGGTTAGGTTTTAGGGTTTGATTTTAGGGGTTAGGTTTTAGGGTTTGGGGTTTTTAGGGGTTAGGTTTTAGGGTTTGGGGTTTTTAGGGGTTAGGTTTTAGGGTTTGGGGTTTTTAGGGGTTAGGTTTTAGGGTTTTGGTTTGTGTGGCTTTTTGGTGATGTTGGGCGGACGCCTCGGCTTGATCTGGTTGATGGCTGATTGTGTTTTTCGTTTGCTCTGGTCTGGTCGGCTGGTTGGTTGGTTGGTCGGTTGGTTGGTTGGTCGGTTGGTTGATTGGTTGGTTGAGTGGGTGGTTGAACGTAGTGGTTGGGTGGTGTCAAGCGTCTTAAAAGTTAAATTAATCTTTAAAACCCTAAACCCTAAAGCCAGCTATCGGGTTTGAATCGATCCGCAGGAAGTGGTTTGGGTACGATTGCGGGTAAGCGCTGCGCAACAACGTTGCGCGGCGATGGTATAAGGTTTGAAGCGTTCTGCTGGACTTGGTTTGAATCGTTCCGCTGGACTTGGCTTTGAATCGTTCTAGCCTTGGTTTGAATCGTTCCGCTGGTCTTGGTTTGGAGTCTGGGTTCGGGCGTTAGGTTTGAGGGTTTGTGGATTAGGGGTTAGGTTTGAGGGCTTGCGGATTAGGGGTTAGGTTTTAGGGTTTGTGGATTAGGGGTTAGGTTTTAGGGTGTGTGGATTAGGGGTTAGGTTTTAGGGGGGTTTGGGTTTTTTAGGGGTTAGGTTTTAGGGTTTGGGTTTTTAGGGGTTAGGTTTTAGGGTTTGGGTTTTTTAGGGGTTAGGTTTTAGGGTTTGGGTTTTTTAGGGGTTAGGTTTGAGGGTTTGTGGATGAGGGGTTAGGTTTGAGGGCTTGCGGATTAGGGGTTAGGTTTTAGGGTTTGTGGATTAGGGGTTAGGTTTTAGGGTGTGTGGATTAGGGGTTAGGTTTTAGGGTTTGGGTTTTTTAGGGGTTAGGTTTTAGGGTTTGGGGTTTTTAGGGGTTAGGTTTTAGGGTTTGGGTTTTTAGGGGTTAGGTTTTAGGGTTTTGGTTTTTAGGGGTTAGGTTTTAGGGTTTGGGGTTTTTAGGTTAGGTTTTAGGGTTTGGGGTTTTTAGGGGTTAGGTTTTAGGGTTTTGGTTTGTGGTTTAGGTTGAAAGCACAGACCAATGTTTGGGTCTACAGGTCTGTGCTTTTTGGTTGTTGCTGGTTGGCTGGCAGGTCTAGGCTTGGCTGTTGGGTCGGGTGCTTTTTCTATCGCGGTTGCTTGGTTGACGGCTCCGGGTTGGCTAGCCTGCCCGGCGCTTGAGGGCGGCTTCGGTGCGGCGGCTATTTTCTGGGTTTGTCTTTGCTGGTGCGTGACATGGTCGGCGTTTGAGGGCATCCGACTTGCTCTGGTTACGGGCCTGTTGCCCGGTTGTCGCTCTCAGTTGCATGAGCGCGCGTCACCAGTGCGATGATTGCGCGATGTCTGTTGCGGTGCTGTGGTGAGCGGCCTTCGACCAGATAGTGTGGCTAGCTTTTGGATGACTGCTGCAAGCGATGCGGACGATTGTCCTGAAAGGTTTGCTGCGTTTGTGTTTTGCACCGTTTTCTATATAACAGAATAATATACACACATATATTCGGACCTCTTGTTTTCTATATAACATATTTCTACACACACACATATATTCGGACCTCTTTGTGTGTTTGGGGCTGAGAGTGCGTGAGAGTGCGTGAGAGTGCGTGAGAGAATGAACGTGACCTGTGTCGCCGCGCCGAAGCCATCATTTGACCCACTGAC